TAACCACTTCCTCCTTTGAACCTTACTTTTTCTACTATTTATTATGTACAATGAAATGTATCTCTCTTATTAGACCACTTCTTGGGGTCAGGGGCTTCTTCATATGCAGACCCTTGTACATGGAGGTACTCAGTCCATCCTATATATAAAACATTATCTATCCTTCAAAGTTTGGCAAAATATCTCCATTAAACCGTCCCTGATCTTACTGCTAGAAAATATTTCCTCCTCTTCTAATTGTTTATAACATTCTAAATCAGTGCTTCTCAAGCTTTAATATGCATATGAATCACAGCGGGATCTTGTTAAAATGCAAATTATGATTAAGGCAGATTCTCTATGACTAAGTGCCCAGGACATAAACCAGGCAAAGAATTACTTACTTATCTGATACAAAATAAAGTCAAAGGATCCTTGAAGACTTCTATACTACACTTTACATATATATGTCATTACATTCTTGCATGTACATACATGCATTTCATTAATGCTTTAGGATATAGTTTTACACTATCGACTTGAATATTCAGCCTGGATTTCACTATTTATTTATTCATTTACTGGCTTAGTCACACATAGCTCATGTTCTTTTAACTTGTACTTATGGCACTTGCTTTTATATAGATTATCATTTTTTTTTTAAGATTTCATTTATTCATTTGACAGAGAGACAGCGAGAGAGGGAACACAAACGGGTAGTGAGAGAGGGAGAAGCAGGCTTCCCGCGGAGCAGGGGAGCCCAATGTGGGGTTCCTTCCACATGACCTGAGCTGAAGGCAGACGCTTAACAGACTGAGCCAGCCACCCAGGTGACCCTATATACATTATCTTAAATACCTCACAATATTATGTGTGCTTTTCATTTTTAAAAATTTTTTTTTCATTTTTGGGGCACCTGGGTGGCTCAGCTGGTTGAGCATCTGCCTTCGCCTCAGCTCATGATCTCAGGGTACTGGGATTAAGCCCCACATCGGGCTCCCTGCTCAGCAGGGAGCCTGCTTCTCCCTCTCCCTCTGCCGCTTCCCTTGCTTATGCTCTGTCAAATAAATAAAGAAAATCTCTAAAAAAATTTTTTCATTTTTAAAATTTTTTAAGATTTATTTATTTATTTTAGAGAGACAGCAAGCGTGACAGCATGCACAAGCACACAGTCCAACAATCCCAAGACCCTGAGATCACGATCTGGGCCAAAATCAAAAGTCAGACACAACCAACTGAGCCACCCAGGCACCCCATTTTTAACATTCTTTTTTAAATAAGTAATCTCTACACCCAACATGGAACTCAAACTCACAACCCCAAGATCAAGAGTTGCATGCTCTATGAACTAAAGCAGTTAGGCGCCCCTGCTTTCCATTTTATAAGTGACAAAATAGAAGCTTATAGAAGCTGTGTAACCTGCCTGGTATCACATAGCTACTATAAGACTCAGGACTTAACTGAAGTCTGCTGGCTCTAAATCCAGTAATTTTTTAGTTATACCATCCAAAATGTGCTGTTTTATAGTCCCAAGTGTCAATGTCATAAGAAATAAAAGCAGAAATCATTTATTCCTTCAACAATTATTTTGTGATGTTTATATACTGGGTTCTGTGTAAGTGCTGGGGTATAGAAAAGATCAGGAAATTCTCTGTTCCTAAGGGACAGTTAAGCAAGGTTTCACCAAGGAAGGAGCATTCCAGTTCAGTCTCAACTCCAGGTGAGGAGGAGAAAGGCATTCTAAGCATGAGGACCAGGATACACATAGGTGTGGAGACAAGACACCAAGGCACATTTTAGAACAAAGGATATGTATGTACAAACAGTACAGACAGGTATCTTTAAGAGAGACCTGGACAGAATCTAGAAGGAAAATATACACTGAAAACACTCACGGTTAGAGTAAAAGCAGCAAAAGGGAAAGAATTTACATGACATGCTTAGGAACCAGAGAAAAGACTTAAGAGTTGCAGAGTCAAATTTTCATGGTAGCGAACCATAAAACCTAAGTGTGGAGCCAGCTAAGAGCGAAAACTGAGAGCAGCAGCATGCTAATCTGTACCAAGCTCTTAACTCTGCCAGATGTAGTACTAAGTACTCTGCATTTGCAAAATACTTAAGCACTTGTGTATTCATTCCCATTTTGTATATGAGAAAACTGAAGCTGAGAGGCTAAGTAATTTGGGCAGTATCACATAGATGGCAACTGGCAAAACCAGGATGCAAACCCAGGACTCTTTAACACTGTACTTCAGATACACTATTCAATTTGCAAAAATATAAGAATCATCACAATTTCATGGAGAGAATTCTGATTAGCTCTTAATTCAGATCCTTCACATGGAGGTTAATGAACTTCTCTAAGCCTCATTTTCATTATAAAATACAAGAAAAATTATGCTCAGAATTCTTTTTTTTTAAAATTATTTTAAAAAGATTCATTTGACTGAGAGAGACAGCGAGAGAGGAAACACAAGCAGGGGAGTGGGAGAGGGAGAAGCAGGCTTCCTGCCGAGCAGGGAGCCCAACGTGGGGCTCCATCCCAGGACCCTGGGATCATGACCTGAGCTGAAGACAGATGCTTGACGACTGAGCCACCCAGGGTCCCGCTCAGCAGAATTCTTATAAAGGCCAAACAAGACGTTTACTTAAAATACTCTGTAAATTTAAAAAGTACAATGTCATACACTTGAGAGTAGTCTTATACATATCTATCTTTGTCTATACATCTTCGGATATACAGGGAGTCTGTATCCTTAGAAGCTAAAGGAGAAGTTTGAATAAACCTTCTATCTGTTAGGTTAGGTTTACTTATTCCAGGTTTCTTGGTTTAGTATATAGAATCAATGGGTTAGCTTGTACCATTCTGTTAGGTTTCTTGGGTGTGTTTAAGAAAGGTTATTTGGGAGGGGATTGAGGGGTTGGATAAGAAACATACACACATAGATAGATGAGTTTGAACAATGATAACACAATTGTTTTTAAAGTCTGGTAAATTAAAGTTTATATTCCTCCCAAAGCACTATGCTACGAAATTTAGATTAAACAAACTGAAATACTTTGGGTTGCTATATTTCACCAAATATTCATATTAAGTTTAAAATAAACATATCAGGGGCGTCTGAATGGCTCAGGGGGCTATAAGGGCCTGCCTTTGGCCCAGGTTATGATCCCAGGGTCCTGGGATCCAGCCCCTCACTGGGCTTCCTGCTCAGCGGGAAGTCAGCTTCTCCCTCTCCCCCTGCTTGTGCTCTCTCTCTCTCAAATAAATGAAATCTTCTTTAAAAATTTAGAAAAAAGAAGTAAAATAAAAGTATCTGCTATGTTCTCTATATTTTATTTTCCATTTTAAATTATAACCAAAACTATAATACTATTTTTTATTTTAAATTTAAATTTTAGGTAGTTAACATACAGTGCAATATTGGTTTTTTTAAACAATGCCACTCAAATCAAAACAAGGAAAACAAAACAAAGAAAAGGAAAACAAGCTATACTAACTGATGCACTCTGAAACCAGATTTCTGGGCAAACGCTAGGTTGTTCTTCTCTAGACTGAAATTTCTACAGCTTTAGGCATAATTTATTTATTTTTTTTAAAGATTTTATTTATTTTTTTGACAGAGAGACACAGCGAGAGAGGGAACACAAGCAGGGGGAGTGGGAGAGGGAGAAGCAGGCCTCCCGCTGAGCAGGGAGCCCGATGCGGGGCTCGATCCCAGGACCTTGGGATCATGACCTGAGCCGAAGGCAGACGCTTAACGACTGAGCCACCCAGGAGTCCCTGGCATAATTTATTATTTTTTATTTTCGGGCAGTAAATCCGGTGTACATAGTCTAATGAAAGCAAAATTTGAAACTGACTAGCAGAGAAAGATTCGGGTTACAAAGTGTCTGGTGAGGAACAGAGAAAGGGAGGAAAACAAACTTTCCTGTGATAGAGAAAAAGAAAACTCTCTCCGGCAGAACTGCTTCCTCACAACAGGACAAGGAAATAAGTACAAGCCTTTGGGAATAATCCATCTGTATTACAAGAAGTTTCAAACATACTTGGGCCCACTTCTCTGAATATTGAGGTCAAACACTATAAAACAGGAGGAAAACTGGGACGTCGGCAAGAATCAGAGTCCACAAAAACAAAACCAAACCAAACCAAACCCACGAACTCCCGGAGTAAAGTGTGTATTCGCAGTACCGAATCTAATTCCAGCATAAAGTTCTCTATCGATAAATAAAAGAGGTACACAGCTCCCTTACCTTGTTTTCATTCTCTGACACCTACCCTGGCCAATCTAACCACCGCTTTTTTGAATAACAAGTCACTGCAGAAGTAAAATCCTACTGTTGCGTGGGCCCACTTGAGGTGCGGGGCGAGCCAGAAGCCAAACGAGTAATTTGGGACGCTCCCCACAGCCCTCCGCCGGCCACTCAGGCCCTCTCGCAAGGCCGGGCAGGCGCAGAGGGCTCCGGTCCCCAGTCAGCGTCCCGCCGGTCCCCACCCGGCCGCAACCGCCTCAGCACGAGAAAGAGCCCGCCGCGTCGGACCCCGGCGTCCACCGGGGGGACGGGCCCTCCCGGGGCTCAGCCTCACCTTCCGCGTCTGCCGAAGAGACAAAGGTGAAGTCCCCGTTCGTGGGGGAATACGCCGGGGACGGGCCCGGCGGCTGCATCTCGCGGCCCCTCTGCGGCTGAGCCCAGGCCCCAAGGCGGCCGCGGCACCGGCCCGCACGCGCGCCCTACGGTGAGGCCCGCGAGCCGGGAGGAGCAGGCTGGGAGCGAGGCCGGAGACAAGCTACCCCCGAGACTGCCCCACCGAAGTCCTTTAGGTGGCGACCGCCCAAGCACCACGACGCCGGCGCCCTGACAGGACCATAACAGTGACAGCGGCTCTTGGATTGGCTCTTTGTAATGTGCTCTCCCATTGGCTCCCGGGAGAAAGGTTCTGATTGGGTCTCCCGGTTGTGGATTCCGGAAGTTGACCCAAGGACGGGAAGTTCACTTCTTAATTCTTGGAAGCTGCAGGCTTCTCCTGATTTCTTGGCTGCTGTTGTTTGCGCCTCTTCGCTTGTGGCTTTTCTTTACTTGTTTCCAACGTTTTTGTTAACTGGATGGATTACAGAATTTTAGAACTAGGAACGTTCCTAGAGGTCAGCTCTGGTATAGGATACCAAGATTGCTTTGCTTTTAGTCATTGACTAATTGTAATGGGATTTTGAGTAAATTATATAGCGGCTCCGAGAGTCACATGTGAAAGGAATGGGGTTGGATTGGATAATAAAAAAGTAGATAAGTTGTAAATTGCCACCCAGAAACTGGGGCTGTAGTCTAGCCACATTATGAGGGAGACAACTGAGATCAGAAAAGGTAAGGAAGGAACAGAATTAGAATGGTACTCTGCACTTGATCTTAGCCAAAAGGCCTAGATGGATGGTACTGTGACTACTGGTCCAATGTTCTTTTCACTACAAGGCCCTGTCTGTTGGTAAATTTAACTAAGTTTACAGACCTATCTACGTTTTTAAATGTTTAAATAAATATACTTAAATTTAATATCCAAGCTACATGACTGGCTTCCAATCTAGAGGGAGAGGGTTTGAGGGTAAAACATGAGACAGACTTGGAGAGATGCATCAGCAGTAGAGCAATGGGAAGGCCTGGCATGGCCATCAATGAGTAAAAGGGAATATTGAAATTTTTTGCATAGGAGGTAACAATTAATTTGGTACCTAAAGGATGGGTAAAAAATTCTGGGCAAAGAGGTGTGGGGGGCTGTCAGCTTGGGTAGTAACATTCTAGAGATCATATAATGGACTTGGGAAACTGGAAGTCATTAGTTTTCTTGGAGCTTAAGTCTCATGGGAGAAAATGGCTACAGATGAGATTGCATGAATAGGTAAAGAAGAGATCATTAGGGACGCCTGGGTGGGTCAGTGGGTTAAGGATCTGCCTTCGGCTCAGGTCAGGATCCCAGGGTCCTGGGATCCAGTCCTGCATCAGGCTACCAGCTCAGCGGGGAACCTGCTTCTTCCCCTGCCTGCTGCTCCCCCTGCTTGTGCGCTTGCTCTTGCTCTCTCTCTGGCAAATAAAATCTTTTTAAAAAAAGAAGAGATTGGGGCGCCTGGGTGGCTCAGTCGTTAAGCATCTGCCTTCGGCTCAGGTCATGATCCCAGAGTCCTGGGATTGAGCCCCGCATTGGGCTCCCTGCTCCGCAGGAAACCTGCTTCTCCCTCTCCCACTCCCCTTGCTTGTGTTCCCTCTTTCGCTGTCTCTCTCTCTCTGTCAAATAAATAAAATCTTAAAAAAAAGAGAGAGCATTAATAATCTTGCATGCTATTCAAAGAATTAGCTTTTTTTTTTCTGAAAGTGTTGGAGGAACCATTAAAGGAATTAGAGCAAAGGAATGACATATCAGATATCCCTGTTAGAATTATTACATAAAATATCCACAGTAGTGGTATTTTGACTTGAAGAGCAGGGACTTGTATGAGACTTTTGCAGAAATATAAGTAAGTTCTGGACTAGGGTTGCAGCATTGGAGATGGAAAAGAGGAAACATACTTGAGATATATTAAGTTTAAGAATCCACAGAACTTAGTGATCAATGGGAAGAGATTGGAGTAAAGAAGACGAAAGAGCCTAGTGTGACTTCATGTTCCTTGCTTAAGTGGTTGGAAGTGTTATTCGTCAAGTGTGGAAACAGAAAATGAAGAAGAGGACCTCGTGTGGGGAGAGGGGAAAGTTTTGAACACCATGAGTTTACGAATATGCAGGTTGAGCTGTCTAGTTATTCTTTGGTAATAAGTTCACAGAGTTCTGAACTGGAGATAAAGCATTGTAATCCTCAGTGTATGGCTGGTAATTGCATCTATGAGTACAGAAGAGATTTCCCAGGAAGAGTGTGGTGAGTGAGGGTAGAGTGCCAAGAATAATACTCTCCGGAACACCACCATTTAAAGGCCATGTAGGAATGGTTGGCCTGCAAAGGAGGTGAGATCAGTTGCAATTTAAAATAGGATGGTCAGAATAGGCAAAATTGGGAAAGTGACAGTTGAGTGAAGATTTGCAGGATGTGAGCATTTGTACTGGATCCACTCAATTAAGTTGGAACTATGATTTGTAGAATTCATATTCCTATATGCCTCCAGGTTAGAGTTTCTCAAAAGAAGAGTTTGCATAAGATTTGTAAGGTAGAAGTGAAGCAGTAGCCATTGCACTGAGCCTCTTCTTAGATGTGGTGATGGACAAGTGCCGTGGGTTCCAGCTTCTCCTGATGGTCCTATGGTTTGCATTCAACTGTTCTTGCTATTTGCAAACCCTGTCAACCAACAGAGGCCACTAGACAATTAGCTGTGACCCCCACAGAGGTGTAGCTACCCAGATCTACTGATTTTGTCAGGCTCACCTCAAGAGTTGGATGTGCTTAGCTTCTCAAATCAGTTGGTGACTTCTTCTCTGGTTCTTCAACTCCCTCTTCTAAACCTGCATATTCCCAGCCATTATATCTTCAGATAATTTCTCTATCCCTTTCTCTCTTTCTCCTCGTTCTGGGATTTCCTTAATATGTATTTGGTCCACTTGATGGTGTCCCACAAGCCCCTTATGCTCTGATCACCTTTCTTCATTCTTTTTTTCCCTTCTTTGGAAGGAAGATTCTCAAATAAATAAATAAATCTTAAAAAATATTTTCAGCACATTGAAGATATTCCATTGTCTTTTGTTTTCTAGTTGCTGTTGAGAAATGAGCTTCATTTCACTGAAGATGATTTTTCTGTTTTCTTTGGTTGCTTTTAATATGTGTTTGCCTTTCTGTATGCAGAGAATGGAAATGGAAATGAGTAAGTAGTATGGATTTCTTTTGGGGTATACTCTTTGTTGTTGTCTTTCTTCAGTTCCTGAAAATTTTAGTTATTATCTCTTCCAATAGTGTCACTACTCTTCTCTCTCGCCTCTCCTTCTGAAACTCCAATTAGATATATAACAGTAATGGTAACACCTCCAGGATACTTTTAGCTAACAGTTTCATGGCATTTACTATGTGCCAAGTACTACTCTAAGTTTTTTTTTTTTAAAGACTTTATTTATTTATTCCAGAAAAAGAGAGAGCAGTTGGGGGATGAGCAGAGGGAGAGAGAATCTCATGCAGACTCTGCACTGAGCACGGAGCCCAATGTGGGGCTCAGTCCCACGACCCCAAGACCATGACTTGAGCCGAAACCAAGAGTCAGATGCCCAACTGACTGTGCCACCCCCGCTCCACTACTGTAAATGTTTTACATTAATTCATTTAATCCTCATTACAACCTCATGAAGTAGGTATTCTTACTTTCCCCATCTCACAAATAAGGAATATGAGTCATATGAAAGTTAATCATGGGTGCCTGGGTGGCTCAGTCGTTAAGCGTCTGCCTTCGGCTCAGGTCGTGATCCCAGGGTGCTGGGATTGAGTCCCGCATCGGGCTCCTTACTCAGTGAGGAGCCTGCTTCTCCCTCTGCCCCTCTCCCTGCTTGTGTTCCCTTTCTCACTGTTTCTCTCTCTGTCAAATAAATAAAATCTTAATAAATAAATAAATAGTTAATCACTTACCAAAGATCACAGAAATACTAATTGGCAAAATCAGGATGTGGACCCTGGTAATCTGATTCCAGAGTTCTGACCACAATGCCCTGAAACCTCATTGTGTTTTGCTACTTTTCAGAGTTCATTATTCCCCCTTTGATGGTTAAGTTTTTTGGTGGTGGTGTTTTGTTTTGTTTTGTTTTTGGCTCTGTTCAAGTTAATGGGTCACTTCACACAGCTCTGGTTGTTTACTAAGTGTGACACCTTGCATTCAACTTGCAGTAGCAACAACAGAATTTAAAAGAGTAGTTTTGATGTTGCTGCTCAAGGGCTGCTGCACTCAGTCACTGGGTTGTCATATAATCTTAGTAAATTGTAGACATCCATTCCTCCAATCCAGACTTTGGGCAGCTAAGGTCAGGATATTTCCAGACTGTGATTCTTATTTCTGGCATCTTATTTCAGGAATTCATGTCCTGTTTTGGTTCTTTAAATAATGGCTTTGTTGGAGCAGCCATGATGGAAGGCCTGGACGACGGCCCCGACTTCCTCTCGGAGGAGGACCGAGGAATTAGAAATCTGAACCTTGGAGGACGCCTGGATGGCTCAGGTCATGATCCCAGGGTCCTGGGATCGAGCCTCGCATCGGGCTCCCTGCCCGGTGGGAAGCCTGCTTCTCCCTCTCCGACTCCCCCTGCTTGTGTTCCTGCTCTCACTATTTCTCTCTGTCAAATAAATAAATAAAATCTTTAAAAAAAATAAATAATGGCTTTGTTGACCTTCTAGGAGTGGTACAAATGCTATGTTTAATTTGCTAATTTGACTTTCATGTTTTAAATATTGTTTAGGAGGGCTAGTTTAGTCACACTAAGAAACTTTAACTATGATATTCATTGAGACTACTTCAAACTCAAGTGGGAAACCCATGGCTTGTTTTTTGGTTGTTTTTATATTTATAACTTTTTTCTTATCTTAAAATTAATGCATACTTATTAGAGAAAACAGAAAGGAAAAACCACCCTATTATATTATCTATAGTGGTAAACACCATTAACATCTTCATGTAAACCTTCACAATCCTTTTTCTAAGAATTTTGGGTATAAAATATATTATTTCACACACATTGTTTTATAACATTAACATTTTAAATGTCACCATATATTTTTCTACATTTTAATGCTGCCTTTTATTTCATTTAATGAAGATGTTATAATTATTAAAGCCAATTCCCTATCTTTGGACTTTGGATTTCTTTCCAAATTTTCATAATTATAAACAGTACCATGATAAACCACCTTTTAGCTGTACCTTTGTACATATTCATGAATGTTTCCTTAGTGTAAGATTTCGAAAGAGAAATAACTGAGGTCAAAGAGGGCGCAAATGTTTAAAGTATTTAAATACATACTGCTAACTTGTCCAGTTAGAGGTAGCAACAAAGTTGTACCTCCATCGGCCTAGTGTAAGAGTACTTTATTCCCCTACTCTGTCTCCATTATCAACACTGGCTATAATCATTTTTTTAAACATGCTAATTTGATGAGTGATGCATATTTTGTTGTTTCAATTTTCGTTTCATTGATTTCAATTAACTTATGATACTTCAAAGTACTTGAAAAGTGGACAGGATCTAAATAGTGGGTGGAAGAGAAATCTGAATGGGAATGAAAGGAAATGTTTTCAATTTTTAACTCATACTAGTGAGAGAAGAATATAATGTAAAAATTGTCATGTAAAGGTTAGTAAATCCCAGACCCCAGGCAACTGTCATTAAATTTATAGCCAAGGAAGCAGATGTTTTGCACACTTAAAGGAATGGATCTATCAGTTTTACTCCCACAATATACCTAAGGGAAATGAAGTATATGTCCACACAAAAGCTTCTAACTAATGTTCATAGCAGAATTATTCATAACAGCCAAAAAATGAAGAAATTCTAATCCATAGTAACAAGTAAAATTTGGTACATCCATATAATGGAATTTTATTCGGCAATGAAAACTAATGAAGGGCAGATATATGCTACAAAATGGATAAATCTTGAAAATATTAATATAAGTGAAAGAAACCAGTTACAAACAACCACATATTATAATTCCATTTATATGAAATATTCAGAATAGGCAAGTCTGTGGAGACAGATTAGTGGTTGCCTAGGGGTGGGGGGCATTGAGGCTAGGGGTAACAGCTAAGGACTACAGATTCTCTTTTGGGGGTAGTGAAAATGTTCTAAAATTGTAATGATGGATACACAACTCTGAGAAGATCCTAAAAGCTATTGAATTATACACTTTAAATTAGTGACTTGTAAGATATGTGATTTATGTCTCAATAAAGCTGTTTAAAAGGATAAGTGGATGGGGCGCCTGGGTGGCTCAGTCAGTTAAGTGTCTGCCTTCAGCTCAGGTCATGATCCCGAGTCCTGGAATTGAGCCCTGCTTCGGGCTCCCAGCTCAGCAGGGAGCCTGCTTCTCCCTCTCCCACTCCTCCTGCTTGTGCTCTCTCTCTCTGTGTCAAATAAATAAATAAATACAATCTTAAAATAAAAATAAAAAGATAAGTGGATGATCTTATGCAGAAAATGAAGAACATTCAAACTCAAGTTTATTTTAGTGGTTACTAAAATACTGGGTTTTAGTTTTAACATATTTCTGTTCAAATTTTACCTCTGCCTAAAGTTAAACATATACTTACCATATGGCCATCAATTCTAATCCTAAGTATTAGTTATATTACTCTGGGGAGGTAATTTTATTTTTCTAAGCCTCAGTTACTCCTCTGTAAATTGAGGATGATAATCATGTCATAGGTAAGGATTAAATGACATAATAAGTGTAAAACACTTCACAGAGTGGTTAGAAAATAGCAAATAGTATGTGTCTTGATAAAATACACTCAGCAAATGGGTGAAGGTGGGGGGATATAGTCTCCCGGTTATAGAATAAATAAATCACTGGAATAAAAGGTGCAGCATAGAGAATATAGTCAATGATATTGTAAAAGTGTTATATGGCAACAGATGGTAACTACACTTGTGAGCATGGCATAACATATAGAGATCTTGAATCACTATGTTGTATACCTGAAACTAATGTAACATCGTGTGTGAACTGTAATCAAATAAGAAAAAAATTTTTTTAATAAAATAAATAAAAATGTCTATAAGAAAAACTGTCAACAAAGTAGGAACAGAAGAGCAGTTCCTCATTCTGATAATGGACATATGTGGTAGGCAGAATAATGGCCCCCCAAAGATGTCCACTCCTAATACTCAGAACCTCTGACTATATTATGTTACACGGCAAAGGAGGATTAAAATTGAAGATGGATTCTATCTTGGGTTAACAGAGGTCTTAAATATGATACAAAAAGCACAAATCATAAAAGAAATAAGTGGTGAATTGAGCTTCACAACATCTCAAAATGGCTGAAGAAATTAAGTCCATGAAAAGACAAATCGCAGACGGGGAGAAAATATTCACAATCCATATACCCGACAAATGATTTGTCTCTAGAGTATAAGTCAATGAAAAGACAAACTGCAGACTGGGAGAAAATATTCACAATCCATATATCTGACAAATGATTTGTCTCTAGAGTACGTAGAGAATTTTTATAACTCATTGTCATTAAAACATGGGCAAAGGATTCAAAGATATATTTCCTGAAAGAAGATATTCATTTGGCCAATAAACACATTAAGGGTGCCCAACATCATTAGTCATAATGGAAATGTAAATTTATAACCACAAGATACTGCTGCAGACTCATTAGAATAACTACATTTAAGAGGACTGAGCATTGGAGAGAATGTGGACCAACTGGAACTCTAACACATGAAGACAACTATTTGGCAGTTTTTTAGAAAGTTAAACATATATTTACCATGTGACCCATCAATTCCAATCCTAAGTATTTATCTAATGAAAATCTATGTCTACACAAAGGCCTGTACAGAAATGTGCTTAGTAGCTTTATTAATAACAACCATTAAAAATAAAATCTTAAGGGGCACCTGGGTGGCTCAGTTGGTTAATTGTCGGACTCTTGATTTTGGCTCAGGTCATGATCCCAGGGTCCTGGGATCAAGCCCTGCATCGGGCTCCCTGTTCAGCATGGAAGCCTCCTCCCTCTGCCTGCCCCTCCCCCTGCTTGTGCTCGTGCGCGCGCGAGCTCTCTCTCTCTCTCTCTCTCCCTGACAAATAAATAAAATCTTAAAAAAAAAAAAAAGAAATACATCTTACATCACTACCCAGTGCCAGGATACATAAATAATTGAAATAAAACTTTCATGAAAAAATATAGTTCATTCTGATAGTTTTAATCCTATTTCACTAAAAATATATATACTGGGACACATGGGTGACTCAGCCAGAGGAACACGCAACTCTTGATCCATGAGTTTGAGCCCCACATTGGCTGTAGAGATTACTTAAAATAAAAAAATAAATAAACTTTAAATATATATATATATATACATATATACTAATTATAACCCACTTAAGTTGCTATCATGACCTGCTAGTGAGTTGGCCAATTTGAAAAACTGCCCTAGAAGATACTCTTTCTAGTTTTGACAGCTTTTCTTGCTTCTCTCATCTCTGAAAGCCTCAGATCCTCTGGCTCCTCATACAAATGCACTGGGGCCCCGTTCTTTTCTGATGCTGGTTCCTTAGAGGTTGCTACTCCTTGTGGGTTTCTGCTCCAGTAAGAGTGATTCTCTCTATCTGCCTGACTGTCTCCAGTTTGGGGGCACCTGTTTGCTCCAATTCTCTGACAGATCTAAAAAGAGTTGTTGATGTTCAGTTTATTCAGTTTATTTTTTACTTGATTTTAGGATGGAGTAACAATTTCTTTACATGCCAGACCAGAAAGTAGAAGTCAAAAAGGCTTCTTTTAAAAATATTAATCAATAAACTAATTTTTAAATTTATATGGAAATGCAAATAATTACTTAAAAAAAAACAAAATGGAAGGATTTATACTACCTGATTTCAAGACTTATTATAAGGATACAATATTCAAGACAGTGTGATATTGGCATAAGAACAGACATATAAATCAATGGTACAGAACAGAATCCAGAAGCAGAATCATAAATTCAATGGGTAATGGATATTCTTTTCAACCAGTCATGCTGGAAAAATTAGATATCTCTATAGGGAAAAAAATGAACTACAACTCCTCATCCCACTTCATGAACAAAAACTATCCCCGAAAGGATCAATGACCTAAATGTAAAATCTAAAATTATAAAACCTCTAGAAGAAAACTTAGGTGAAAATCTTTGTGGCTTGGGATAACAATGACTTTGTAGATAGGACACAAATAGCATGAATCAAAGAAGAAAAAATAATAAGTTGGAATTCATAAAAAGGAAAATGTTTTGTTTTTCAAAAGATGTCAGAGAATAAAAGGCAAACCATTGTATTAATCATGTTTTCCATTTTTTATATTTTATGGTGCTTTGCTCTTTCAGGGGTTTTGCTAGCTGGGAGATGCTGCCCCGATCAAGGCTAGCTAATTCCTAGGAAAAGCAAAAAACTTGTCTGTGAGCGTGCCTTTCTTATGCAAAACAACCAACCCAAAGACAATATCCCCAACCACCAACTTTACTAACTCATGCACCAAGACAATATTTCCCTTGCCTTAAATCACTCCAGAGTCACCCTTATAGCCTAGAGTCTGCCAAAATTATTCAAACTATCCAATCCTAAACTTGCTCAAAGTTGCCTACCTTGCCTCACTTATTTCTTCCTGTGAAAACTATAATGCAGGCTCTGGGCTAAGCTTTCTCCTTTTCTCCTTTACTTCTCTGCCTCCTGATCAAGCCCTGTATGATATGGCATAAACTCCTTCTACTGGGAATATTAAGCAATAAAATTTCTTTTATTGGCATTGACCTCTCCATGTTGTCACTCAGTTATCTTTATAAATTAACTCCTGGATACAATCAAAACAACTATAGGTTAGGAGAAAACACTCATAGTACATATATCTGGCAAGCAACTTACATCCAGAATCTATGAAGAACTCTTTTTTTTTTTAAGATTTTATTTATTCATTAGAGAGAGAGAACACTAGCAAGGGGAGTGGCAGGCAGAGGAAGAGGGAGAAGCAGGCTCCCCAGTGAGCAGGGAACCCGAAGCGGGGCTCAATCCCAGGACACTGGGATCATGACCCAAGCCGAAGGCAGACGCTTAACTGACTGAGCCATCCAGGCGCCCCTATGAAGAACTCTTGAAAGTCAGTAATAAGAGGACAACCCAATTTGTAAAAGGGGCAAAAGATCTGTACAGATACTTCACAGATGATTTATGAATGAACAATAAAGTACATGAAAAGATCCTCAACATCATTAAATGAAAATTAAAACTACATAATGAGAGGGGTGCCTGGGTGACTCAGTCAGTTAAGCATCTAATTCTTGGTTTTGGCTCAGGTTGTGATCTTGAGGTCATGGTACTGAGCACAGCATTGGGCTCCTTGCTGAGCGTGGAGTCTGCTTCAGAATCTCTGTCCCTCTGTCCCTCCCCTGTGCTCTCTCTCTCTCTCTAATAAAAAAATAAAATCCTTTAAAAAACAAAACAAAAACCCTACATAATGAGATACCACTACCCGTTCATAGGTATAGCTAAAATTAAAAAGACGAGTAATACCAAGTGTTGGTGAGAATTTGGAACCGTTGGAACTGTTGGTTTTACATGTTGGTAGGCATGTAAAATGGTATGACCACTTTAAAAAAGTTTGGCACCTTCTATAAAATTAATATACACTTACCATATATATGAGCCAGAAATACTACTTCTAAGTATTTACCCAAGAGAAATGAAAACATATGTCCATAAAGATACTTGTACATGAATGTTCATAGTAGCTTCATTCATTATAGCCACAAACTGGAAACAAACCGAATGTCAATCAATAGAATTGATAAGTCAACTGATTTGCTCAGACAATGGAATACTGTTCAATCATAAAAGGACTTAACTACCAGTACATGCAAACAAGGCAAATCTCAAAAATATGATGGTAAGTGAAAGGAGCCAGATACAAGAGTACATATTAGGTTTTCCATTCATATGACTCTCTGGAACAGGCAAAACTAATTTTATAGTTAAAGAAATCTGATCAGTGGTTGCTTTGGTGGGGAGTAGGAGGGATGGATTATACAAGGAAACTTTCTGCAATGATGGAAATATTCTAAATCTTGACTTGGGTGTTACTGACGTGGGTGTGTACATTGGTCAAATCTCCTTGCATTTTATTGTATGCAGTTTATGTATTGTATGTAATTATACCTTAATAATGTAATAATACAATATAATATAATACATACATACAAAATGTATTATATATAATTACTAATATATAATATATAATAATAAACATATAACACATACACACATAATATAATACATAAACACAAATACACCATATTTATGCATGTATTGTATGTAATTATACCTTAATGAGGTTGATTTTTTAAATGAAGCAGTTTAAGGGGTATCTGTTGGGCTCAGTTAGAAGAGCCTATGACCCTTGAACTCAGGGTTGCAAGTTAGAGCCCCATATTGGGTGTAGAGATTACTAAAATAAATAAGTAAATAATAATAAATTTGAAAAAGATGAAACAGTTGAGTGCCAGATGGTGCCTTTCAGACCAGAGGGGTCTTGGGGCCTTCAGGAGGAGCACATCCATTTGTATGAGTCAAACTTAAGATTTGAAAACCAGGAGCAGCCTAGCCCAGGACGAAAACTAGTACAGTTGAGTGTCTACAAGTGAAAAAACCAGGGAGACATTTCTCCAAGCTATGAAGGGCTGCTGGGGTGAAGTGTGGTCTGCGTTTGAGAGTTAGATCATGGAGAGCCAGAAACAGAAGTGACACGGCTTCTCCAGGGACTTGGAGAGGTGTCAGAGCTTACCCCTGGTACAGACAGCTATCTTGCAGTGATACTCTAGAAAAGAACAAATTCTATGGGAGGTGAAATGCACTACTCCTTTGACTGGTGACAGCAGAATAATGGCTACAAATAGTTACTAACATGTATTGAGCTCTTTCTTTGTATGAAATATTATACAGGAATTCTCATAACTTCATAAGTTAAATACTGTTCTCAACCCCGTGGTACAGATGAGCAACCAGTGGTGTAATGGCGCTGGTTCTTACTGTTTAGTCAGACCTGACTGTTGAATTCTCATGATTTTTGTTAGCCAGTTGACATATGTTGTTAGCTTGAGATCAACCATGGTGAAAATATTTCTAATGTGGAGATTGGTAAATTCTACAAATCAGGGCCACCTTTACCCCCAGAGAACAAGTGTGTTCAATATTTAGCAACACAGCACTGAAATAGGCTCAGAGAGGTTTAGCAACTTGCCAAGGTTGCACAGATGGTAGCAACCGGCAGATCTCAGGCCAGTTTCATTACTCTAAAGCCCACAGTCTTACAAGAGACCCTTTTATATTGGGGCACAAGACTGCTCCCCTGACTTCATTTCCAAAGAAAAGCCATGTTGCTCAACAAAGACTCTCGGATTAAGGATGCAGGGCTTTGCAGAGCTTTTCTTGAGGGCCTGGAATTCAAGGATTTGGCATTTCCATAACTCAAGATGGGTCAGGGTGGGGGGTGGGGAGTGCATGACCCTACTGCTCTGGCAACAGGATGCCGAGATGCACGTTTTATATAAATAAATAAATGTATCTATTTCCCCCCATCTCCTCAGTGTATTTCATAAAGGAGAATAGTCAAGTCCTCATTCAAAGGATGGGAATGACTGTTGTAAAGCAAACTGTGGATGAGCTATTTGTGTGGAATGTTCTGAATCACAAAGAAGTAAACATCATTTACTATGAGAAGGTCAAGCAGGAGGCTGAGAGAGGGATCATTCCCCTGACTTTGAAGAAGGTTCCGAATCCTATAATCTCTTTCTCAAATCCCTTGAAAAGTGGAACTATCCCGTTTCAGGATTTGAATGGACAAAGCAAGTATCAATTTTCTTGTGTTTTACAAATAGAATAAACCATGAAGAAAATCCATACTCCCCATGAGAGAGCCTCTGCTCTCCTCTCTCTTTGTATCATTGGGTAGTTGGGTTTTGGTTCTGCAGAGGAAAAGCTCAGACACTCTCAGCAGAAACTCCCATTAGATTACTTGTTGCTGAAGCTAAATAAGTCACTCCAGGGTCAGGGATTAATGATTTAGTATAGTCTCACTTCAAAATCAAACTGGATAATGAAGGCACTCAAGAAGTTAATGCAGTCGTGGTTCTTAACATTCTTTAGTCCAATGAGGAATTACTATTTTTAATAATATTATCACTAGGGGCGCCTGGGTGGCTCAGTTGTTAAGCATCTGCCTTCGGCTCAGGTTATGATCCCAGGGTCCTGGGATCGAGCCCCACGTCCGGGGAGCCTGCTTCTCCCTCTCCCACTCCGCCTGCTTCTGTTCCCTCTCTTGCTGTCTCTCTCTGCCAAATAAATAAATAAAATCTTTAAAAAAATCATATTATCACTAAATAATAACTTATTTTGTTTCATGATAGATTTTAATCAAGGTTGAGGCTTGATCTGGGGAAAGTTACCCCTAACCATCCCTCTCAGCCATGTCCCTACTATTCTCACACACTTTTCTAGCCCAAACACAGGCTCCTCCCATTTCCCTTTGGCTGCAACAAAGATCCTGTGGTGGAAAGGAGGAAACAGAAGGCAAATGGGGAAGAGTAAATATTTGGAATCCTTTCTGCCAGCTCATCCTGGGGAAGGAAAGACAAGTCGCCAATGGAAGATCCTCAGCATAACTCCCTCTTAAAATCCTCCTGAACTCTACATTCTGGGGAGATGCAGAATTGGATCCTCTAACCTCACCTCTTCTCTTACAGGTCTTTTTCAGCAGATATCGAAAGAAGACCTAGATGATTTGTCTCAGGATCTAAAGGATTTATACCATATCCCATCTTTTCTGAACTTCTCTCCCCTGAGTGAAGATATTGATATTATTTTTAATTTGAAAAGCACCTTCACAGAACATGTTCTATGAAGGAAGGACCATCACCATCATCGATTGGAGCAGCTGACCCTGAATGGTCCGCTAGACACTCTTGAGAGCCCCTGCATCATCAAAGGGGAACCGGGCAAAGGGAAGTCCGCTCTGCTACAGCAAATTGCCATGCTCTGGGCCTCGGGAGAGTGTGGGGCTCTGACCAAGTTCAAATTAGTATTCTTTCTCCATCTGAGCAAGGCCCAGGGTGGGCCCTTTGCCACTGTGTGTGATCAACTCGTGCATATACCTGACCTGACCAGGAAGCAGACTTTCATGGCCGTGCTGCTGAAGCTATGGCATAGTTCTTTTTCTTCTTGATGGCTACAATGAATTCAGGGCCCAGAACTGCCCAGAGATCGAGGCCCTCACAAAGGAAAACTACTGTCTCAAGAATATGGAGGTTGTCACCACCACCGAGTGCCTGAGGCACATCAGGCTGTTTGGTGCCCTGACTGCGGAGGTGGGGGATATGACAGAGGATAGTGCCCAGACTCTCATCTGGAAAGTGCTGATGAAGGAGCATGCTGAAGGCTTGTTGCTCCAAATTCAGAAATCCAGGTGATTGAGGAATCTGATGAAGATCCCTCTCTTTGTGGTCATCACTTGTGTCATCCACATGGGGGAAAGTGAGTTCTACTCTAACACACAAACAACACGGTTCTGTACCTTCTGTGATCTGCTGATACAGAAAAACAAGCACAAACTTAGAGGGGTGGCTGCAGGTGACTTCACTCAGAGCCTGGACCACTGTGGAGACCTAGCTCTGGGGGGCGTGTTCTCCCACAGGTTTGATATCCAAATGGAAGACATGTCCTGTGTGAATGAGGATACCCTACTGACAGCTGGACTCCTCTGTAAATACACAGCTCAACGGTTCCAGCCAAAGTATAAATTCTTTCATAACTCATCCCAGCAGTACATAGCAGGATGCAAGCTCAGTAATTTACTGAAGTCTCAAGAGCCAGAGGAGGTGACTAAGGGAAGGGTCACTTGAAGAAAATGATTTTCGTTTCAGACATTACATCCAAGTATAGCAACCTGCTCCTGCACGTGGGTGGATCAGCTATGGAAGCCACCAGGACTGTTTGGAAACACCTTGCAGGAGTGTATCAACATGGGAGCCTCCTCGGGCTCTCCAACACCAAGAAGCCTCTCTGGAGGCAAGAATCTATGCAAAATGTGAAAAACACCACTGTGCAAGAAACTCTGAAAGCCATAAACATCATTCCTTTACAGAGTGTGGTGTTCATTTACTCCATGAGAGTATATCTGAGGCAGACCTGACTGAAGAATTTGAAGCTTTCTTTTGTGGTAAAAGAACATCCTGATTACCTATTTGACTTCTTTGAACACTTGCCTAATTGTGCCAGTGCTCTGGACTTCATTAAACTCGACTTCTACGGAGAAGCTACAGCCTCAGGGGACAAGACCATAGAAGACACGAACAGGCGTTGAGAAGAGTCCTCAGAAACCTACATTCCCAGCAGGGCCCTGTCTTTGTTCTTCAACTGGAAGCAGGAATTCAAGACTCTGGAGGTCATACTCCGGGACTTCAGCAAGTTGAATAAGCAAGATAACAGATATCTGGGAAAGATACTCAGCTCTGCTACAAGCCTCAGATTGTGCATGAAGAGGTGTGCTGGCGTGGCTGGAAGCTTTAGTTCCAACCTCAGCACCCATGAGAGAACATTCATTCCCTCACCATGGAAGCCAGTGCCCTCACCATAGAAGATGAGCAGCACATCACACCCATGACAAACCTGAAAAACTTGAGTATTCAAGACCTCCAGACTTCACGGCTGCCGGGTATTGTAAACGTCAGCACTTTAAGCTTATAATCAAGACTGTTTGGGTTACCATGGAAATATTAGATATCATATAGTTTTGCTTTAAATGTTCTAATAGTTTCAACCAGGTGTCAGGACTTGGAAGGGAGGCAGCAGGACTGAGAAAGAGGTCCATAAGGGGGGAAGGCTGCCATATTGGGAGGCACTAGGGAGGATTCCCAGAGCTGAAGCTATACAGTCTGACGGAATGGCACTATAGTTTGTATGGCTTTGTGTGTGTGTGTGTGGTAAGGTAAGCTTATCTTCACTGACCTCTCCCCCTTCTCAGCATCTCCATCTCTACCCAGCACCCACTGCTTCCCTGCCAAAGGACAGCCCTGCCCGCTTCAAGTCTGAGAGGAAATCCAGCCTGTAAACTAATCACCTGAGGGAGCTGGTCGCTAATTGTGTTACTGGATTCTCGTCCAGGAAACTGCAGAACATACCCAGCCTCACCCCACCCCACGTATCGTTCATTTTGAAAGATTTTGGGAACAGATTTTGTCTAACAAGAAATAATTTCAGATCTCAGACACATACATGTGGGGCCAATCTTCCTGGGTAAAGGGGGAGTTTTCCCTAAGTTCAAAATAGTATTAAAGGTGAATGTCTGTCTGCCTTACATGTGTCAACCAGCTTTACCTAGGTAGGTCAGCCCCACTGCCTGGGACAGGCGCTGCTTGTGGTGTGAAGCTATGCGCTGGCAGGAGCCTTGCTCTTTTTGACTGTGATCCAAGAATACTTTTCATTCACAATAGATTTCCCATCAGGCTCTGCCTCACTTTTCACTCTGTAGAGAAAATTTCATATCATTAAAAAAAATCTAGAATCTTTGTACAGATAATTTTTGCAACCTTCTTAATGCAGGAATCCCTTCCATAAGATTTTGCACAGTCACCACAACTTCATTAGACTACCTTCTGTGTCAGGAAGCTCGCCGTTTCCTCTTGACGGCTATTCCTTTGATCTTGCAAACTGGTCACCTATGTGCTGAGTTTGGCCTACATATTGTATAGAATTGTCTTTTCAATGTTTGCCAATATTTTGTTCTTAATTCTTAAAATTTATTTTTTGAGTAATATATTCACATGATCCAAATTATGAAACAATCTACAATGAAGTCTCCCTTTTCCCATCCCCTAGTCACGATTCTTTTCCCTAGAGTTGGCAACATTTTGCAATTGGGAGATTGCAGTGTGAAACTACAGGTTACTCATTTCTCTTGATAATTGTAGGTCTGGCAACTGCATGCCCACATCTTCACTTGGTAACAATCAGCTAGAGCTTCTTGAGATGTTCCTATGTTCTGTGGACAAGATACATAATCTCTGTGTGGGCACAGCACCCACCTGTTCTACTTCTTGTAATAACATTATCTCCCTGGCCCTTGTTGACATTTGAGTTTGTAATCAGTGCACATTCCTTCTTATAGCTAAACTCCAGTGCCCTGTCATTTATACCCAAGGCTGGTTTCTATTTCTGCCCTCCACATATCTTCAGAATCTTCCTAGTTCTTCCCTTTCTTTGCTGAATAGTGTTGCATTATATGGTTGTGCCACAGTTTATCTCATCACCTCTGAAAGACATGTAGGTTATTTCCAGCTTGGGTGATTATAAACAGAACTTCTATAAATGTTCGTATGCAAGTTTTTGTGTGAAAATAAGTTTTCCTTTTTTCTTAGAGAGAGAGAATGCACCTGCCCCCTGGGGGTGGGAGGGAGGGGCAAAGAGGGAGGGAGAGGGAAACAGAGAATCTTAGGCAGGCTTCATACTCAGCAAGGAGCCCCACGCGGGGCTCCATCTCATGACCCTGAGATCATAACCTGAGCTGAAATCAGGAGTTGAACACTTAACTGACTGAGCCACCCAGGCACCCCTGAAAATAAGTTTTAAATTCACTTAGGTAAATATCTAGGGGTGGGATTGCTAGGCCATAGGACAAGTGTTTGTTTAACTTCTTAAGAAACTTCCAAGCTATTTTCCAGTTTGTACAATTTTACATTTCCAATAGCTATATATGAGAGGTTTAGCTGCTCTACATTCTCACTAGCACTTAATATCCTTTGTGCTTTTTTTTTTATTCTACAATTGCCCTACAATAAGAAAAAAAAAAACAGACAACACCAAGTGCTGATGAGGATATGGAAAAACTGGAACTCTGGATGTAGTGTTATTTCATCATACTTAGCTGATAATAAGTTGAAAACTTTTCACGGGTTTGTTCGCCAACTATATACCTCTGTGGCAAAGTGTCTGTTTAAGTTTTCACCCATTTTTTAATTGGGTAATTTATCTTCTTAGTGTTGAGTTTTGACTGGTCTTTATATATTTTGGATACAGTTCCTTTGTCAGATAAGTGATTTGAAAATATCTTCTCCTGGGGCGCCTTGGTGGCTCAGTCAGTTAAGCGTCTGCCTTCCGCTCAGGTCATTGATCCTAGAGTCCCAGGATCGAGCCCTGTGTGGGGCTCCCTGCTCAGTAGGGAGTCTGCTTCTCCTGCTGTCCCTCACCCCTCTCATGTTCTCACTCTGTCTCACTCTCAAATCAATAAATAAAATCTTAAAAAAGAAAAAAGAAAAATATTTTCTCCTAATCTGTAGCTAGTCTTTTCATTCTCCTAATGGTATCTTTCGTAGAACAAAAATTTTAGGTTTAGTTGCAGTCTGTTTTTGCTTGTATGAATCAAAATTTTGGTGTGATTTCTAAGAATTTTTTGCTTAACCCCAGGTGATGAAGATTTCCTCCTATCTTTTCTTCTTAAAGTTTTACATTTTATTTATTTATTTTTAAAGATTTTATTTGTTTATTTGACAGAGAGAGACACAGCAAGAGAGAGAACACAAGCGGGGGGAGTGGGAGAGGGAGAAGCAGGCTTCCTGCTGAGCAGGGAGCCTGACACAGGGCTTGATCCCAGAACCTTGGGACCATGACCTGAGCCGAAAGCAGACACTTAACCACTGAGCCACCCAGGCGCCCCAGTTTTACATTTTACATTTAGATTTATGATCCATTTGAGTTAACATTTATATAAAATATGATGTTTAGATCAAGGTTCATTTTTCTTGCATACGAATATCCAGTTGTTCTATTTATTGAAATGACTATTCTTGGGGCACCTGGGTGGCTCAGTCGTTAAGCATCTGCCTTTGGCTCAGGTCATGATCCCAGGGTCCTGGGATTGAGCCCCGAATTCATGCTCCCTGCTCGGCAGGAAGCCTGCTTCTCCCTCTCCCACTCCCCCTGCTTGTGTTCCCTCTCTCGCTGTCAAATAAATAAAATCTTCTAAAAAATATGACTATTCTTTCATGTTTGAATTGCCTTTGTACTTTTGTCCAAAATCATTTGGCTGTAATTATGTGGGTGTATTACTGGACTCTAGTCTCTTATTGATTATCTGCCCACACCCTTATCTATCCTTTGGTAATGTCATATTGTCTTAGTAACTGTAGTTTTATAGTAAGTCATAAAATTGAGTAGTGTTGTTTCTCCAACTTTATTCTTTTTCAAAAAATTTTTTTATATTCTAGTTCCTTTGTCTTTCACATTGTTTATATTATCAAAAACTCTACCTGGGATCTTGGTTGGAGTTACATTAAATCTATAGACCAATTTAGGGAGAATTGACATCTTTATTTTGTTGAATCTTTCAATCCATGAGCATGGTTTGTTTTAATTTAGATTTCCTTTTATCATCATTTTGTAGTTTTCATCATGTTGATCCTGTATATGTTTTATCAGATTTATATCTAACTTTGTCATTCTTTTGGAGCTATTGTAAATAGAATTTTAAAAAATTGGTTGCCAATCACTTATTGCTATTATATAGAAATGCAATTGATTTTTGTCTGTTGATCTTATACTCTACACCTTTGCTATACTCACTTCATGCCATCTCCAAAAAGAACAGGTTTATTTCTTCCTTTCCAATTTGTATTTATTTTATTTTCTTGCCTTAGTGCGCTGATTATGACTTGCAGTAGAGTGTTGCATAGGAGGGGTGAGAGTGAACATCCTCCCTTGTTCCTGATATTAGGAACAAAGCATTTAGACTTCCACCACTAAGTATGATGTCAACCATAGTTTTTTTTTTGTAGATGACTTTTATCAGGTTGAGGGAGTTCCCTTCTATTCCTAGGTTGCTGAGAATTCTTATTATGGATGAATGTCAGATGATGTCAGTGTTTTTTCTGCCTCAATATATCTGATCATGCAGTTTTTCTTAGTCTGTTAATATAGTGAATTATATGGATTGGTTGTCAAATATTGAAGCAGCTCTGCATTCCCTGTAGGAAGTCCACTTGGTGGTAGTATAACATTCTTTTTATATATGGCTGGAATCCTTAGTAATATTTTGTTGAGGATTTTTGCTTCTATGTTCGTGAGTGGTATATTGGTCTGAAGTTTTGTTTTATTCTCTTGGTCTGGGTTTTGTAGCATTTAATGATAACATCATGAAAAAGCTGGGAAATGTTCTCTTCACTTCTATTTTCTGGAGGTGATTTTGTAGAACTGGCGTTATTTCTTCTTTGAATGTTTGGTAGGATTTGCAAGTTAAATTATCTGTGCCTGAAGATTTCTTTTTTGGAAAATTTTAAGTCATAAATTCAATTTCCTTTAAGCACTGTGTTAGCTGCAGATTTTGATATATTTTATTTTTATTTCTATATTTTTCAAAATACTGTCTAGTTTTCCTGAATTCATGCTTATTTAGAAGTCTATTGTTAAATTTCCAAGTGTTCGGAGATTTCCTTGTTATCTTTGTTATTATTTTCTAGTCCAATTCCACTATATTTAGAGAACATGCTTTTAGCTAAAGAAGACAGCCATCTCTGACCAAAAAAACAAAAACAAAACATTCTCGTGTCCCCATGCTGCCCCTGTGAATTCAGCCTGCATTCCTCCTAAGATTTTTGAAATTAAAGGGAGAATGCTCATTCAGAAGACTTCATCCTGTGAAAAGAAGT